CAAAAAAGATAATGATAAAACAAAACAAATAATAATCGTAAAATAACATAAAAGAAATTTCTAAAATAATTATGGAGGGTCTAAAACGAGGTTATGACAACAATCCGAAATCGAATATCATTAAAAAGGTCAAAATGGCCAACATATCTAGGGATATATATAAAAAACCTATAAAAATGTATATCAACAATAATAATTTAAGGGCTAAAGGATGGCATATGGTGTTTTAAAGCACATAATCAGCTTAAAAGCATAAATTAAATGAATTTTATGTTTGAAAATTAGTGAAGTTGATATCCAAAACTTGTCATGTCTTGCATCAAGTTTAATAACGAGAGGAGTTGAGTATCTTGGTAGAATAACTTATATTTCTCACGAGTAAAAAAAACTAACATGTTCAATTGGTTTTGTTAGCATATTTTAGGAACATTTTAAAAAGAAAAACATATTTTGATCATCTCAAAATCCCGAGTGTTATTTGCAAGATCAAAAAGATTTCTTAACTTTTGAGGTAAGTTAAATAAAATAATTGAGGTTAGTCGCCTCTCGACTTGATTGATTATAGCATTTAGAATCCCTAAGCAAATAATAGGGTAGGTCGACCGAATAGCAGATTCTAAAAAGGCAAGTCACCTCGAAAAATAAACTTATAGAGGGTAGGTCACCCGGTACACAAGACCCATAAGAGGCCATTGAAGGATTTTCCATCCTATGAAGGTACGAAATAAAATAAAAACTTTCCTCTATTTAAAGGCCCCAAGATCTTGTTGTTGAATCAACTAACTATAAATTCACGAATTAAGACGTGAAATAAAAAAGTACCTCTTATAGCACGATTTAAATCTATGTAAAAAGGAACTATCCAAGTGTTTGGCCTCTATCGATAATCCACGCAGTTTAAGCACCCACAAAAGAAGTACTCAAAATTGGTAGAATGCTACCTCCACCTTTTCCGACTTGTTTAGTGTTTTTTCTTTTGAAATATAATCAAGATAATTTTGCGACAACCCTAAGAAAGGGAGGAAAAAGTGGCGTGTACTAGTGTTTTTAGGAGAAAACTATTTTCTTCTTAATTTTTTTGCTCAATGTTGTGTGCCCTAAATTTTCATTATTTGTCGTCTCTCTCTCTCTCTTAATTCATTCTTACATATTGTCGTATCTCTTCTCTTATTTATAAGGGGAGAGTTTTTCTTATCCTCCAAGGACAATGAAGGACGAGAACTAGTCCTAAAAAAGACTTTTCGTTGGTGTTTCCTAATTTTCTAAGGATTAGGAGTTATTATGCATGTGGACTTTTTTGATCTTATCTTTTAAAACATTTATCCTTATCCAATAAGGTTAATATTTATCCTCCTATCAAAATATCTTTCGAGCTTTTAATTAAACATATTGAACCAAACTATCTTGACCCAATTAATTAATTTGGATTGTCCAAATAAATTAGGTTAGATAGTTTTAAGAGGCCTACATTGGAAAATAATTTTTCAAATTATCTTTAAACTTAAATTAGGAAACTAATTTCCTTTTAGGTTATTTTCACGTCTATGGTTTTTACTACTTTGAATGAGGGTTTCTATAGTGGGTTTTTAGGCTTTAGTTTCCAAGATTTAATTTGATTCCCTATCTCGCAAGATCATTTTATTTTACCCCTCCACCTCCTTATTTCCTTTCAATTTCAAACCCAATTGAATTTCTTTAGTCCTTATTTCATTGATTTTTTCAATCAACTAGTAAAATATTATTTTTCAAACTCTTATTTTTTTTATCTTTTATCTTTTTTTCTTCTTCTTTTTTTTTTAATGAAATTCATAAAAATAAACGGGGTAAAAATTGGATGCCAACATGTGTTATGCTTGACATTTCTTTTAACTTTTTTTTACATATCTTTTAAATATTTTAATAGATATATTTTCTCTACATAATTATAATAAAAAGTAGTTTCAAGTAAAAATATATGCATTAATTTATGTATTGTCTATGTATATAAAAGTTGAAATATTACTGAACAAAAATAGTTTTCTATTTCATTGCATTATTAATAATTATATGTCTTAATGATAATTTTTTTCCTAAAAGAATTATACTAGTTTAAAAAAAAAAAAAAACTCATATAATGACTTTTATACGCATAAAATCACATAAAAAATTCATTATTAAAAACACACAAAATTTATAGTATATTTTATTGTAAGTATAAGAGTAATGAAAAAAATAAAGTGATAAATTTAAAGTAATAAAATATTTTTTAAAAATAAAAAATATGGAATGAAGACTTGGACCACTTATTATCCTTGCATCTTTGCACATAACACATTGTTCAATTCGTCTTCTTTCTTGAGCTAGCCGAATTCCGGCTAGGTCTTGATACAACATGGAAAGTCGGCATTTTCTTTTTATTTTTTGCCAAAAACTTTTTTTTAGATCTAATTCTTTTAAACTCAAATATAACCTCAAAAACTTTTTTTTACCAACCAACCACTACAAAAATCGACTTGAAAGTTTTTAGATCTAATTTCAAATCCTTATAGCTCTAAATTTTAGAGATGGAATGATTTAATTTTGATCCCAATAAATTTCTAGCAATGAAAACTTTCCTTTGATGGTAGCTTGGGAGGGTTTGGCAGCCAAAAAGTTTCTTCCTCTTTCTTTTATTTTACTTATTTTTTTTAATTTCAAATTTCAGAGATTTGTATTTTTTTTTAGAAGTCTTGAATAAGAGAAGGAGATAACTCATTTTTAAGATTTTTTTATTTATTTTTTATTTTTTTGAAAGGTTCAAATTCATTTATATAATGGGACGGCTTGTGTTTGTTTTTTAAAACAACATTTGAAGTGTTATCTACATTGTAATGTAACGACATTGTAGTAGGCTCCTATTTTTCCCTTACCAAACAATAATTGACAAAAAAACATGAGATCTTTCATTGATAAACAATTTTTTTTTAACATAATATAAATTAAAAAGAAATAAACAAGAACGAGTAGGTATTTTGTTAAAAGTAAATAGAAATATTAGATAATTTAATTAATACCATATATGCATTATTGTTTTTTTTTGTTATTAAGACTTTTAACGTTATTTTATGGAGCAAAATAATAAATTTGAAAAACGAATTAAATAGTTTATTTTTGTTTAAAAAGGAAATTAATTAGTTCCTTGATCAATATTTAATCAATTTAATATTATTTGTTGCAAAAAATATCTTTTTTTCATCATTCATATTTTTTACTTTATTTATTAAAATAAAAAATAAAATAAATTAAAAAGAATAAGAAATTAAGTTACAAATAGATTTAAAAATACGAGAGATTAATTAATTAGTTATTGAAATTAGATGAACTATTTAATTTCCTTTGAAAACTAGAGAGATTAATTTATAATTTATAATTTTTTTAAAGTGAAATAAACATCATTTGATCTTAAAAAAAAATTACTTCCTGTACTATTTTAAATGGAATCACCTTATATTTTAAAAAAAATTAAACAACTAAATATTAAAACACTCACGACTCATTTAGGCTCCGTTTGTTTGGCGGAAAACAACTTTCATAGAAAAATCAATTATGGATAAGCTATTTTCTAGGAGGTTGTTTTCTAAAAAAGTATTTTCCGACGTTGGACAATTACATGAAAAACCCGTTGAAAAATATATTCTAGCGTTTGTTTGATACGGAAAACTAAAATACAAAAACAAACCGTGATTGTTGCAACAACGCATTTTGAGAAAATTTAATATTGCATATCCACAATTTCACAATGTAATATGCATTTAGAAAAATTTAATAAATTTTTATAAATACTAACTCTAAGATTTGAATTCAAAATATCAAAAAATAAAATGTATATTTTTAACCAATTAAGAGTCAAGTCAATATTCACACTCGGTAAAAATTTTTTTAAGCAATATTGTTATTTTGGTAACTCAATTAAGAATTTTTTTTTTGAAATTGAATTGATAATTTAATCTAAAAACAAAAGAGTAGTAATCATTTATAAATAATCATTCATTTGGTTTCAAAAGATTAATATTGGAATAATTTGATAACTAATTATTGACTACAATTACTAATAAAAATTTACAACTCGATTAAAATTAGTTATAAATTATTGATTTAGTTGCAAATGAATAGTGTTGAAAACAATAATATATTTATTAATGAATTAATTGGTTTTGATTTTTTTACACTTGCAATCTTATAATAATCATTTCTAATCCTTTAAGTATAGTTTAGGTGATGTTTGAGACAATGGTAAAAAAATAGAGATAAATTATTGAAATATTTGTTATAAAAATAATTTTAAGGTGTAAAAATAATTTTTAAGAATATTTAATTTATTTATAAATTAAAAAATTAAATGTTAGTGGAAGTGGAGAAAAAATAATTAAACAATTAATAAAGAATAATTAAAAATTAATTTTGATATATTTTAAATATGAAAAAGATAAAAAATTATTAAAATATATCGAGAGAAGTAAGTAACGTGAGATTGAAATAGCTAGTAAGAGAGAGAAATATTTTTTAAAAAATATTCTACCATTTTTAATCGATGAAAACCATTTTTTATTGATTTTTTTTCTTAAATCGAAACAAATATCGAAAAATGGAAAACAAGTACTGAACTTAATATGACGGCATGGGAGCGGGCACCAAAAATTGAAGTAAAAACAGAACGAAGGAACGAAATCAAGCTCCCCGTTCTTCCCCTCCCTCCCCCTCCCGCTTCTATGATCAGGATATCTCTTCTTCCTTCTCCTCTCAAACTGCCGCCACCATGAAACTCTGAAACCGCTACCACTACTGCCCCTCTTTCTAGCAAAACCAGCAACACTTCAAAATCACTGAACTCTAAGAAACCCTAAAATTCGTCAACATGAGCATCGAGCCTTTCAATCGGTAAACAACTCGGTAATCCAGTCAAATTTAATTCTTACAAACTGAACTTAATTACTAACTGTGAGTTTCCAATTTCAATTTTGGTTGTGAAAAAATCAGGCTAGTGAAGCTAGCGGCTCGAGCATTTTACGATGACATAACAACTAAAGGAGATAATCAGCCCAAAACGGGACGGAGTGATAATAGAGGCATTGCTGTGGTAGTGCTTGACGCTCTCACTAGGTGCAGCTTCTATTCCTCTCTCTCTCTCTCTCTAATTAATTTTGAACGTAGTTGTTTTCAGAAGTCACTGTTTTTTTTTTTTTAAATAAATTATACACGTGTTTTATAATTAATTAATGTTTGATTATAAGGTTGTGTGTGTAGATAACAGTTTGGGTATTGAATAAAGGTTTAGTGTATTTTGATATGGCTAGTTGTGATTGTGATACATATTGGATTACAGACGACAATGGGTAAGAGAAGAAGATTTGGCCAAGGAGTTGAAATTACATTCGAAACAACTTCGCCGGACTCTGCGGTTTTTTGAGGAAGAAAAACTTGTGACCCGGGATCATAAGAAAGAGGTTGATGTTTTACTTTGTTTGCATCAATTAAGTCTGGTTGATAGACTGTGGGATGAGGAAAAATCATTAGTTGTAGGAAATTTGGAATTAAAGCTTGTATTTTTGATATCCTGCTAAAGCATTTTATTTTTATTTTTTCCCACCACAGAATCCATTCCTGAACCATGATTATTGAAGTAATATTTGCTAATAAGGAAGTACAGCTTTGCTCTTTTCTCTTTTTATTTAATTGTGTTAGTTTTCAGCCTTATGTTCTTTTTGAGGTCATTATCATCACGTAAAGTGCTTGAGCTAAGGAAAAAGAAATGAAGAGAGAATTTTTAGGGCCTAGGCATACATTTGTTATCTCTTACATGAGAAGCTTTCTCTGTATTTTGAGTTTCTGATTGTTGAACTTCCTAGTTTCCTCTGTCAATTATCTGGCCCTTCCTCGTAAGTCCAAAGTTTTGTGCTGTTAACTAACAATGAACAATCTTGGTGGAAATTTGTGCCTCTTTGTTCGCAATCTTAGATACCATCATTTGATTCCCTAAGAACATCATTCCTTGTACATTATCATTAGTCTTTTGTTTGTCACAGACGGCTAAGGCTGCGAAGATGCATAACGCTGCAGTAGCAAACACGACCGATGGCCATAGAAACAAAGGGGCAGATGACAAGATTAAGATGCACACTCACTCCTATTGCTGTCTAGATTATGCACAGGTTCTTTGTGTGTGTGCGTGTGTCCGCGCGCGCCCAATATAGGAACCGTCATTTGATCTGCTTTTTCACTGCATTAGTTTACCAAATTTTGAGCTGACTTCTTTACAAATTTTGGATTCCAGTTATATGATGTTGTTAGGTACAGACTGCACCGCATGAGGAAAAAGCTGAAGGACGAGTTGGAAGACAAGAACACTGTTCAAGAGTACATATGCCCCAACTGTGGAAGAAGGTATTCATCTGTGTTTTTTTTCCTCATTTATGTCTGTTTTCTTTCGGGAGAGGGTTTGTTTTTTTGTCTGTACATATGAGGGAGGGTATTTTATTTGTTTGATATCATGCACTCAGATACAATGCTTTGGATGCTCTGCGCTTGATTTCTCTAGTTGATGAGTACTTCCACTGTGAGAATTGTGATGGGGAACTTGTAGCTGAGAGTGACAAGTTAGCTGCCCAGGAAGGAGGAGATGGAGATGACAAGGCAAGGAGGCGGAGGCGTGAAAAATTAAAAGACATGCTTCAAAATATTGAGGTAGCTATTCATTGCTACTATCTTGTTTGTTCAGGATGCTGGCAAACTTTTCCTTCTTAAATTCTACTTATTATTAATGAAAGGTTGTTATAGAGTTGGAGAAGAGGTGCTTGGCAGAAGGTTTGTCATTGAATAACAAAATATATCTTTTATCACTCTTTGGTTTGGTTTAAATTATTTTATTAGCTATGCCTTGTCTTTGGTTCTGTATTAGTGATGCAGTTTCTATGTTGTGAATAGGAGCAAATAGCTAGTGCCTATCTCTATTTTTGGTTACATATGGATTTCTCCTAGAATAGAGAGCATGGGAGGTCCAAATCCTTTTTTTTTTTTTTTCCATAACTAAAAATTTCACAATGTCATAGCAACTGGGATTTGAATTGTGCACAGTTTCTGCGATTGTTGATTTGCATTATGTCAAGGGCTTTTTGTTGGATGCTACATCGCTCCAACTTATTGACATGTGAACTCTTGCTCTTATTACTGCTTATATATAATCTATAGGTTTATTTCCTTAATGAGTGGACAAACTAAAATGGCTAGGTACAACTTAAGCCGTTAATGGATCAACTTAGCAGAGTAAAAGATTTACCTGTTCCTGAATTTGGGAGTCTTCAAGAATGGCAAATTCATGCAAGTGCTGCTGTGCGTGCTGCAAATGGTGATTCTAGTTCCAACGATCTTTCTAGATCTTCTCAAGGGTATGGTGGAACACCAATGCCATTTCTTGGAGAGACAAAGGTAACACTTTTCTCGGTCCCTCCTACAATCGCGCTTTCTGCTTGAAATTTGAGTGCAGAAAATATCTGCTGTCACTCATGCAGTGTTGTTATAAACAACAGGGACTTTATATATGGTTTCCTATACTTACATTTATGTAGAAGTTATTTTCATAGAGATGATACTTCTACTAGGGAGCTTTAATGACTCTGGTGTACCCAAGTGGCACTACACCTTTCAGAGATCATACATTATTGCCATCCCTAATATTCCAGGGTTAGCTTTTTGCATGAAAGTTAACGAACACAAATGGTTCAGCAAGCTAGGGTATGGCCGCACCTTTTACCTTATAGTAAGCCATTGTTTTTAATTTGATGCGCCAAATAGATGATATTCAGGCTGGAAGGTGAATGTTGTGTTAGGTAATAACATATGGCTGCATTTTGAATTAAACCAATTCACAGCCTCCCAGGCCATGAAGGAGTGGGGTTTTTCCCTCCTGTTAAGCTACACCTTTACCTGCCAAAACTCCACTTGATCTAAGCCAGGTTAGTTCAAGCCTTTGTGGTGGTAGCATGACCAGTTTCACGACTAGTTTTAAGGCTACAAGTTAGTTGACATTTAAAAGAGTTGATCAAAATCGTATCTCTCTCAAGTGCTCTGTCTATCATTCACTTCATCTCTTGAAAGTGGATGGTACTTTGCCAACCATAAGCACCTTTCTGTCTCTCCCAGTCTCTCTTTCCAGAAAGGGAAAGGTGCTTTTCTTTTCTACAATTCATAATTTCACCTGTCAAATTTTCAGTTCATCAATGGTAGGTTGTTCAAGCATTGGCACTTGTGTGAGCTTGGAAGAATCATTTGTTCCAACCTGTAGACTTTACTAACGTAAAACTTGTAGACTTTACTGCAACTAACGTAACATTGCATGATAAAATTATTGGATAAAGTGTTTTGGCCTATCATTCTCACCTGGATCTACCCTAGCAAACCAAATTGGGTGTTTTGACCTATTGTTTTGGGTATTCAAGAAAGTAATTGAGTTTGCATTCCAATTAGTATTTTTGGGTTTGTCGATCTTTATGTAATGAGTTTAGGTGGTGTTTGAGCAAAACTGAAATGTGCCCTGTACAATAATATATTCTCATGTTGATATAAATCCATGAGAGGTGTGTGATGTACCAACTCCATCACTTTGCCACCACTTAAACCTTCATACATATGGGAAACGAGTTAAAGCTTTTGGAACTGGTACGAATCTGATGAAATCACTTCTTTGCACTATCTGGCTTCTGCTACCTTTGGTATTTGCTAGTTAATATGGCATGTGTATAACTTCCAAATGGCACCTTTCCCAATTGAAAACATATCAGTGCCTTTTGCTCTGTAAAGTTCATCCATGCTTGGCTATAATTGGTCCTTAAGACGTTAGTTAGCAGTTATTATTTTGACTAGCACTTTTGACATGGTGCACCAAGTTAAATTTAATGCATCGAATAGATGCCTTTTAAGTTATGGCCAAGTTTGAGAAAGTATTTCTGCAGCCAGGCTGTTTTACTGCATTAATTTGGCGAGACAAAATGGAACCATTTTGTCAGTAGGTGCATTTGTCCAGTTATATCATGGGCATGTTGTTGACAAAGTTGATAGCATCAGTGATGATACTCTGTTTGAATGATGCTTCTTAGATACTAGGATGTTTGATTTGTTATAAACAGCTGGCCCAACAATGCCACTCAGCTTTCATTTAAAAGTAAAAACAATGCTGCAGTTTAAAGTGTCACTTTGAGTTGATTGGTTAACCCCTGGACCAATCCCATTGAAGAACTCTATTTAGGTCTAAAATCGCCCTTTCAGAGCATTTCATACTCTATTTTTCCAGAATTAAATCATGTTGATGATATGATTACACATTAAGGGCAAGGCAAATTTTGTCTCTCTCATTAACTGGAGAGGTCTATTACATGTTTCTCTTTCAATAAATAATTGGTTGGATTGACATTAATGACCCATTTGAAATGGTTAGCAAAGGCTTATGTGATCAATGTTATATATATATATATATATATATATATATCATGTGTGCTTGTCTGTGTGTGTGATAAAGGAAAAGGGAGGATAAGTCAATCCCCATCCATCCCTCCCCCCCCCCCCCAAAAAAAAAAAAAAAAACTCAGACTCTATATCAATGGCTGTATCAGATGTAATTAACATTCTTTAAATTTCCTTTTTGACAGTGTCCTTTTTTCTCTGATTGGTGATTTACTTCTTTTTAACATTACCTTCGTGTAAGAGTTTGAGTTTTCTTTGTTCAGTCATCTGGTTACATTGAAAAATCTTGGTTTACCCTGCTATGGCTAATCAGTGAAATTTCTTGGGTCTTCCTTACAAACACTGGGCATGTAAAAGTTTCTCACATCAGCATTTGCGAAACTTTGACATTGGATTGGATTATTCACAAGCTATTTATTGCTAAACTTTGACAGGTTGAAGTTGCCTTTTCTGGCATTGAAGGCAAGGATGATATCAAATCTGAAACTGCAAGTACTGCTCTGAAAGTTCTACCACCATGGATGATCAAGCAGGGAATGAACCTTACAAATGAGCAACGTGGAGAGCTCAAGCAGGAGTCTAAGATGGATGGCAGCACAGTGGTAGCAGAGTTTTCAGATGACAAGAAGTCTTCTATTGAGAATGATGACAAGATAAAGGTCTCCAGCATGATATGATATACTTGCATGTTCTGATTTGTTATATATGGTTTTGCTTCCTCTTTTTACCTCACCACCTTATATTTTGACTTAGCATCTGCTTTCCAAATTGTATGACAGGATGAGTATGTTAAAGCTTATTATGCTGCTCTGCTTCAGAAACAACAAGAAGCAGAAGAATCTGGTAAGAAACTACAGGAATTGTCACAGACATCCATCTCTACTGTGCTTTCTGATCGTCAAGTGGGCATGAAATCCAAACGTGAAGCGTATGAGCCAGATGATGATGCTGAATGGGAAGAGGCTCCAGTGGGAGGTATGTCTTATTTATCCATGGAGTGATATCCTCTCCAATCCTACTAGGAACTAGGAGGGATATCAGTGATCCAATGCATGCTAGGAAGTGGCACCCTGTCCCCTGCTTTTGTTGGCCTTGACATGGGTGAAAATTGTTAAAAAAAAAATGGAAAGACAAGGAAAAAGATCGAGAAAGAAATCTCAACTTATGTAAAACAGCTCTCCAATTATTTTGCATGTCCACTAAAACGCCACAAATTAAGCTTGCATGTTTGGATTTGAGTTTTCAAAGCTATGGCTTTGAAAAATCAGCTGATTTTTGCTTCTCCAACTATGGTTTTGAGTTTTTGGGACTCCAAGACATGGTCAAAGAAAGTACCAAATATCCATTTGGGGATTCCAGATTTGCCCAAAACCTAATCCCAAACTCACTTTAAAAGTTGTGAAAGCAGCATTATCCCAATCATATCATTGGGAAAGTCCTGCATCTCCAAAGTATCTGGCCTTTCATCTTTGAAGACCAATGTATTGTATCAATAACTCCAGGCTATTGGGACAGAGATACTACAAAATCAAGTGACCTGTTCCAAAACCGTGTGCAGCTGAGCAATGGGAGGAAAGATCAATGTTTTATTTTATTTTATTTTATTTTTTTGTGCCATTAGAACACATGAGGTATGCATATGTTTAGAGATAGAGTAGGGACTTTCCATCTTTATTATTTTTTGAAGGAGAAATACACTCCCATATTTTTGGGTGTAGCCTGGTTTCCTTTATAAGGAAACCATTTTGGCTTTTGCTCTAAGTGCTGTAGCTGGGTGAGGTCGGACAGCCAGCGAAAGAATTTGTAGGCGCTTATTTTAGGAATATATTTATGCTTAATTACTGTTTAGTATGTTTTCTTCTTTCTATCTGGATGTTTATTTTCTTCCTACTGTTAGGGTTTTGGATTTAGGGTTTCTATTTCTACTTGGTTTGGTGCCTGTAAATATGCACCCTACCTAGAAATTCAAGTTACATTTTGAATATTGATTAATCAAACTAGTTCAATTTTTCCGGAGGGTTCTCTTGTGTTTTTATACACCGTCAGGACTGAAACTAAAATTGTACAAGCTGAGCCAAACAAAATTTGGTGCTGAGTGCAGAAAATCTTTAACTTCATAGGATGTTGTTGTTTTTTTCTACCTTGTGAACTCTTCTCTAAGTGTTGTTGCATTGTTAATAGTTGATGTCATCCTACCAATTCATGACTTGTCTACAATACTGCAGGCAACACAGGTGAAGGTTTTAAGGTCAATGACTTGAATGCTGAAGCACCTGCTTCAGGAGAGGATGACGATGATGATATAGACTGGGAAGAAGGTTGAGCAAATGCTGCTTTTACATTCTCCTTCAACTTAGTCACCTGAAGATTGTTGTAAAACATATGATGTGTAAGTTGGCTAAAGATTACCTGGAGATGCTTTTCTTCTATAGATTTTCATTTTGAGGGAACTCTATAGAAGCTCAAGACATTAGTTACTGTAAACAACTGTAAGAGCTGATATTGCATGATGGAGAGCACCTTTTTGTCAAGTGATGGAACTTTTGTGTTCTTTTCATCAGTTCACGTAAAACTTACTGAGATTGTATATTAGTTCCGTTGGTGTAAAATGAAACTGTGGAAGACATTTCTGAGTGCTCGAAGCTTTTCTTTGGCATTACTAACCACCAGCAAATTGTGAGAGAAACTTTCTTTGATGGCAATATGTACCATGAAAAAGGGGGAAAGACAAGAAAATAAACGAATGAATAAAGATGAACTATAATTTCTGTTTGTATGACCATTTTTTTTTATTGCCCTAAATTCATTTCTTGTTTAAGGGGGAGCAAAAACGTTTTCATTAGTTTACCGAAGGGAATTATTACTATTTAATATGAATGGTAGTTCAAATTGCCTTTCCAATCGTTATGTTCTACTGGATTCACCATAATCAAGTTCTTGATTGATCAGTGCTGTATTCATATGTTCTAGTGGAAAGTTGTCGCACCCATTGGGTTTTCACTAAAAGATGCCCTCATTAGAAGTTCAATTGTGCAAAATGCAAACCAAAAGGGTAATAGTGAGTTAGTCAGCTCCCCAGCCCAAAAGTTTTAAGGTTTGGATCTCCAGAAGTGCACAGGCTTACACACGAACACACTTGTGTTTTTGGTGGGTGTGTGTGGTTTAAATTTTAAAGAAGCGCATGGGTGGGTGGTTGACTTTGGATGCAAAGTTGGTAATGATCATTTCACCTTTCTTGTGCTGGCCAACAACTCTTTTTGACACTTTCTAATATGTTACCCAAAATAGTGTGTTAAATCGGATGGCTAGTATTGTCGTCCAATGTCCACTACCGGTAGCTTATAGATGTTGGGCCATCTCATCCATCCACGTGGCTGGAAGTAGACGTTAATGAGGCGATTAGTGGTGGACTGTCTTCGTGGTCTTCCCAAAGGGCTCTCTTTCTCAAGATGCAAAAAAGGCATTAAAATTTCCAAGTCACCACCACTTCCGGAAGACATGGAAAGTCTCACAATTAACCAGAAAGAGGGAGAGAGAGAGAGGGATTAAGGAAATTAGTTCAACCTGCCATTGGAGCTAGTTTAAGCACACACAACCATAATGGATCTTTGTCTTCCTCTTCACGTATGGAGTGGTGTGAAAAATATCAAGTGGAGGAGGTTTTAACTTTGAAGTCATTGTCGTTGAATGGTGCTGCCCTACCCCATAGAATTAGTCTCATATTCAAGTTGTGGAACTGAACATGCACATCTATGACCAAGATTAAAATGATATCATCTTGTTGCTAATTAGTTCTGCGTTGACATTGTGCACAACTAATCAATTTTACATTTGAGTTTTCTTACTTTTTTAGTCTAAGTGAACAAGAAAGGTCTTTCATGTCCTTCAATTTTTTTTTTTAAATGACGAGAATTAAATTCTGAAACGATGCATAATTAATTCGATACGATTGCCCGTTGAAAAATGACTTATGGACCCGATTGGTAACTCGCAAAGATGAGAAAAGAAAATTCTTATGCGTTTGTAAGAGTCGAGAGAGACTTGAACCATAATCTCATAATTTTTTTAATTTCATTTCTTAATCAACGAGCTATCTTTACCGGTTATTGTCCTCAAATTTTCTCAAGGAGCAAGATCAATACCAGATAATTAATTTACCAACCTACGTCCTCAACAAATTTAATTATGTTCTCTGTGCAACTTAATTATCATGTAATAACAATTTAAAGTTCATTCCATATGGTTGACTATTAAATTGTACGTAGAATGCTTTTATAAATATATGGAGCTGATCAAGGTCAACTCAGCACACATGCATGCTATGGATATACAGCCAAAGTGCAAATCCATCTCCTGAGTCTGAATTCGAGTGATGAGTTGTTTTTATATTACTTGAGTAATTTGGGGAGGTGGGTGTTCCGCTTCAATAGTGTGTTTCTAAAGGCAACTAGCTAGGCCAGACTGGTTGATCCCTCAAAACCGGCACTTTGGACAGCCGCGTAAAGTGTGTTTTGGATAAAAAACAATATTTATACAAATTAAGGAATAGTTTTCACTTTTATTCATCTCATCAGGTATTTTAAAAAGAAATATGTAATAGCCTAATCAAAGATATTTACTATATATAGTGTAATCTAAAATTCAATAGGATCATTCATGTATCAATTGGAGTAATTAAGCGAAAAGTTGCATAAATTACTAAAATATTACTGATTAATTTCTTCGGCTGGGTAGTACGTAGATTGTTTCCCTACTTCACATAAAATGATTGACTCAATTTTCTCTTGGTGTGCGTGTAATATGCTATAGGATAAAATTATTTTTGAGTAAACTTTACAAAGACTAGTTCATTTTTCAATCGGATTTCAAATTTATTATACACACCCGTAATAGTATAGGTATAAAAAATTATTATTTTTCTATCTTCTCTCTCTCTCCATATATATATATATCAAGGTAAATGATTTTTTAATTACACAATGGAATTAACCATCTTTTATTATATTTATATAAATATTAAAAAAAATTACAGTTATTAAAACTCAAATCTTACTTCATTACGAAAAATATTAACAAGTGACGAATAACTGCAAATTAAACTCTTTAATTAGATATATTTATTAGAGGAGTGATACGCAAATATATTGCCAGTATTTGAGAGGACATTGCACTTGTATATACGTGTACAATTTAATAGTGAAACACCCATAATACCATCGCGCTAAAAGCCAGATTGTCCACACCTCCACTTTAACGAATATATATATATATATATTTATTCATTCCAATAAATAATTCAAGGTTTGACGATCTGTGCTTTTAATGGCTTAGTTGCTTGAACGCAAAGGAAGTTTCATTGGAAGAAGAATGCTCGACAATTCTGCTTCCTCTCCGCATCTACTGGACCTCCCTTCTTCCCCACTCTCTCTCTCTCTCTCTCTCAAACAAATAAATAAATTAGCATAAACTGTGAGTCTCATGGAAGCAAACACAGTCCCATGTCAACTTCGTTCAACATTTCTTGTGCTACTACTCTAGTTATAGCACCATATTCAAGCTGTCAAACTTCTAATTTCATTTCTTTCTATGCTCTTAAACGGCCTCAAATTACAACCCTTCTACTACTCTCCTTCTGTCTCTTCAATAATAAAGTCTCTTCTCTCTCCATGCAATCACTTTTCATCTTCATCCATTCTGTTCTTCATGAATATTATAGCGATGAAAATCCCAAAATATTTATTTAGAACCATTGTTTGGCTCTTTCTTTTCCTTTTCTTCTTTCATGGTTGGTGCGATTTCGTTTCCATTAATAATAACAATGTCATCTACAACAATAAAGACGTGCATGTATCTCCTCATACATTGATTAGCAGAAAAATGTTGGTTAGCAAAGTTGACCTCACTCCATTTATGAGTAGCCACCGGCATCACAACAGGCATATTCCGGTGCACCCCCAACCGACCAGAAGTGAGATCGATCCACTTTATGGTGTTGAAAAACGACTTGTTCCAACTGGTCCAAACCCTTTGCACCATTGAGGTTTTTAATTTTTGTTTCATATCCTCATTGTAATATTATTCATGTTCATTAATGTAGCTATCTTATTTATTCTTTTTCTTCTTCTTCTTCTTCTCCTATCCTCCTCCTCCTTATAAAAAGAAAAAAGAAAATCCATGCTTAGTATTCATCATGAACTTAGCTGTATGATTCTATACTTGTTAATTTTGAAATTGGGAAATTAACTCCAATTCAGATTTATTCATACTTCATATGGATCAAATATTTCTTTCCTTTTAGCATTTTGTTTTCCAGTTTCCCTTAATTAGCATCTTGGCGTGCGTACGCATGTGTGTAGCTAATGTGAACGCCTATGTTAATTATTTTGTCTAGTTTTTTTTATACAAATTGTTTATAATTAGTTTGTTCTCTTCACACTCATTCTCACAGAATTACATGGTTGATCTTGCAAATCATGTACTTTGATTAATAATTAGTTTAATGCAATTATTTAATTAATTTAGTGTGAAAGAAGCAACACCATCTGTGATGGCACGGCACGGCATATGGAAACCCCAATTTAAGCATCATTGCTCAAGGAGTTTAATATTTTATATCTAAGATTAGTTAAAATAGTGACTTCGAAAACATTACATAATAATTCATGTGGCAATCCATGGCTATAAAGGGTTGACTAATAATAGGTAGAGAGATATTAAGTTGTCATATGCTACATCATAATGACGCACTACGTGGGTCGAAATCCAGATTGTTCAAGTGCTGTGTAATTGTGTAAGAGTTGTTAAGACTTGAAGAGTAGAATGTAGAAAACACGAGGATGAAAATGCACATATTCAGCAACCTAGGATGCTTCTTGGGGCCTGCATTTTGACCCAAAAAAAAAAAAAAATTGAAACATTTTTGCATCATGGTTATAAGCCAAGAGCTTGTTTGTTTGTTGTTTAAATTTTCAAAATTTCAATGCAGAGTTGGTATTAGTTCAGAGAAGGTTTAAATGTTAAACCACCTTTTTCTGTCTTTAGACTTTGTGTTGATTTTAGCTTATCTTAGATTATCACTTGTGGGCATCCAATCACCGCTCTCTTTTTGCATACTTAGTATAGGTAGGAGGAGCTTATTTTCAATAAAATGCAGGGTGAAGCTATTACATCCCTTTTTGGTTTGACTTTCAATACGATTAGTGGCAACATCACTTGATGGTACTGGAGGATTCTCTCCTCTGGTCACTATCCATGGAGGATTATGCATACGATGGAAATTTACTTGGAGAGAGAGAGACACAGAGCATGTGACAAACACTCTTTCTTTCTTTTTTTCATCATTGTCAAAGATTATTTGAATCTTATTTCGCATATGGTACAGCAATATCTCAACTCTTTTTAAATTTTTTAATTAGAATTCAAATAGATTGCTCCTCCTTATGAATAGGGTACAATTAATTAATAGAACCCATCAAATCATCGAAGGCATAGGGATCAGTGAGTTTATCAAAATATTGTTATGGTTCAACTTAATGTCCGGTGGATCGATGGTTAAGCGGTCATAATTGCTTATGGTATGGTAAGTGAGTAGGAACTTGTGAGAGGTAGGTGGATAAATATGTGATGCCAATATTTGATTAAATTAGCATATTATAAAATGGGTGATGGTTAATTTACTGGACCCAATTGATATTTATAGCTCAAAGATGTTGCATCTTTGGGTAATTCTTCGTTCAATTTGGTGAGCGTCAGAACATTTAAAACGGGTAAAATGGCGAAAAGGAGGCAATGGTCATATGAACCCAACCATTCAAAATGCGATCAACGGGAACTGGAACGGGACTTCTCAATGGGTGATGGGATTGCAGATCTAGAATTTCAGGAAAGTCTGGATGGGATAGTAGATCTGGATATGGATGCTTGTTTAGAATTAAAAATGAATGAAATTGTAATAGTTTGCTTTGAATGTATTCTTCTTTTAGCCTAAGAAAATGAATAGTCGCAGGAAGAGGAAGGGGACTCCGCCTCCTGTTCAGCTGCTGACTCTCGAATTCGAGAGAGAGAGAGAGAGAGAGAGAGAGAGGGAATTACGGGTAGCATCCTAATTTGCTACATGTCCAAGATGAAATAAATGTTCAATGAGGCTACTGGGTCAAATTTAATGTGGCTTTTTTTTTCATAATTTCATCCTTTACTGGCTCGGAGAAATAGGAAGGCCCAGTTATGTTAGTTTCATCTTTTTCGAATAACATATGTCTGGGTTTCGTTCTAGAGCTAGGGCTTTCTTTTGTTTCTAGCCCATTAAAGCATCCCTCTAGAATATCCATGGGCCTAAGTTGGAGAGGTGTGATGCCAGTGTTTTTCTTTTTTTTTCCTGCCCTTTTATAATGAAAAAAATAAAATTATTTGCCTAATTTGCGAATACAGTACCCCTCTAGTAGGTTTTATCTTCTAATAGACTTTATAAATACACTCATGTACTCTTGAGGTGTAGTCTAAATAATAATAAAACCTTTTTTCATCCCCATGAATCAAATGATTATGAATTTAAACTATTGAGTTGTGAATACATTTAATTATAGTTATTGTTATTATTATATGCATTTCTAACTATGGAGAGATGCAACAAGAGGCGCAATGAATGAATGAAGGGAATAGAGTACCGTCTACGTGCTTATAAAACAGAATTTGCCATTCTAAGGCCAAAGTCCAAAAATGTATCATTTAATCAATTTGCCATTGTAATCTCACTTTGCCTTTGATAGTTAAGTACGATGGCAGTCCCGCGAACAAATGATATTATATTAACCCCATATCATTGACATTCTTAGGTTGCCGCTGACAAAGTCTTTCAAGCGTCATTTTCGCTCTTTCCAGAAAATTGCAGCCTTTGTAGAAAAAATGGGGTCATGACTTATTAGTTTATTTTATTAATTAATTGGGCTTACTTGTAAAAAAATCCTGGAAAATCCTGGAAGCTTGACTTTTCATAGATATGAAGGAAGAAGGAGGTAGTAATTCATGACAAATTAGAAGCCTGGCTCATGCAAGAAGTTTAGCTTTACCTTTTCCATGCAGCTTTTTTTTAAAAAAATTTCTTTAATCAAGTTGATAAATAAAAATTTAGTTCTTCGCAATATCCAATTAATTTCAGCATTGCTTTATGCAAATAATTTTAAAACCTTCTCCCTTCCTTTTCCTTTGCTTCGATTATGCCAAGAGCCATCTGCATTTGCATTTTGCCTCGTTGCTTGGTAGAGATGGCAATGGGGCGAGGCAAGACAGGAATCGCCATCCCCATCTCTGTCCCGTTCTTAAAAAAAAAAAAAAAACCCATCTCTGCCCTGTGCACATTTCAGAGCGAAATTTCGTTCCTTATCTACGTCTCGGACGGGGCGATCCGCCCCTCCATATTACCTTTTTAAAAGCCAATGGGCTGGGGGATGGGGGCAGGGATGGAGATGCCTAAAAAAAAAACCCATCTGTGTTCCGTGTCCTATTCAAGATAAAACTTCGTGTTCCATCTCTACCTCAAACAAAATGAGGCGGGATAGGGTGACTTTAGGATGAGTTGGATTGCCATTCTGATTGCTTAGTCAGTCCGCATGCCTTTTATGCTTGAATAAAATTAATTTTCAAATAAAAAAGTCTTGTGTGTGCCGTATGTTGATCTTAGGTTAGGCAATTTGACAATAATTAATATGAGAAAGTGGATGTTGACTACAAAAGATTGAGAGACGGGAGAGGGGTAGTGTGTAACCGTGGTTTACCTAATCAACCCTTGCCAATACATGATAAAGAAAAAATGGAAGGTAACCTACCAATATTGTTGGTTTTATTATGGTTTTTAATCTGCACATTCACCATCATAATTCGGTAACCAGCACTATATCTATCATACTTGGATATAATTATGGTTTTTAGAACTTGAAAAAACGAAAAACAATCACATAAATTGGGTTTGCCAATAAGTTCTTTTTTTTAAAAAAAAACATGATTCTTCGGTTAATAGAAATCAGATTTACAATTCAATGGTCCAAACGGTGATCAAAATTCTTTTAGGCAGCAAAAAATGATCAGTTGGATGAGGAGAAACCATAACCAAACTCATCTCAATCTAGTGAAAGGTGAGAAAATAATCCTCCATAAAACTACGTACTGTAGTGCACCATGCCATAAAGAAATCAAGGATATATTTTGATATTGATAGTTAGATTAAAATATTTGAGGACATACTTAATGTCCCCTAATCAAAAAGCCAAATAAAATAAAATAAAATAAAAGGCAGGGAGTATAAAATAAATGGATGGCAAGACTTGGTCACACAATATGGTGGGTCCATGGAAAACGAGAAGCACACAAAGAAATTGAGTTGGAACCAATTCGTCCATTGAAGATACCCACTTAAGCTTTATGAAAGGCAGACATCGGCTTTTAAACCCTCAACCTGAGGCCACTTGGAGGGGTGACTCAACCACCTCTTCTCCTTATTTGCTTGTTTACTACTTCTCAAGTTTTGACGTGTGGAATATCATCTTCTGGTGCTTCAATGCCGTGTAGTCACCAAACCACATCATCCAACTGCATGCTTCAAAGTGGATTACCATTTATTTATGTATATACTCAGTTGGAAGATGATCTTCTGCCACCACTTCATTTTTTATTGTTGCCAAAGTGGATAGTTGAGAGTGTCTTAATTATATGATTTAGTCAAAGAATTTTGAACGATTTTAATCTTTCTAGTAGATTTTATTAGCAAAGGTTATCTTCTTCTTTTTATTTGTTTATTTATTTTAATAAAACGGACACTACAAAAAAAATAAGAGATTTATAAGGGAAAATTAGCAAAGGTATCAAAACCGTCGCTAATTTACTAAAATTGCGATGGTTTAAACCACTTTAGGAGGACTTTACAACCTTCATTAAATTGGTCCTAAAAAATCATGGAATTTAACATCGCTAATTCCAATTTTTTTTAAAAAAATTTCTAAGGCCATTTTTGCTACGTTTTTTTGCCAAAAAAAGTTGTTAATTCTTATTTTTTTTAAAAATTTTTCTAAAGCCATTTTTCGACGAGTTTTTGTAAAAAAAAAAAACCATTGTAAATCATGGAAATTAGCGATGATTTTTTTCAAAAAAACCATCGCTAATTCCATTTTTTAAAAAAAAATTTTACAGCCATTTTTGTGATGGTTTTTTTACAAAAAAAACATCGCAAATTACCAAATTAGACCGTCGCTAATTGTCGGACCATTGGAAGGAAAGCTGCTATTTTTCAAAATTTTCGAGGCAATTAGCGATGGTTTTTTAGACCGTCGCTAAAACTATCAACCCCTAAATACATTCTCGTCCAAAAATTTTCCCCAAAAATTTCTTCTTCCCTCTCTTCTTCTCCTTCGTTTCCAATGCTTGATTTACCTTCCATTTCCATCAAATCTTCCCTCTCTTCTTTATTTTCCTTCCAATCTCCTCCACTCTCTCCTCCTTCCCTTTCTCCCCTCCATCTCTCCCCTTTCTTCCTTTCTCCCCCCACCCATTTTTTGGCCGAAACAGTCCGACAAAGCCCCTCCACCAGCGTAACCCCCTCTACTCCTTGTGTTGATGAAAGGTCCTCCCTCATCTAACTCCTTAATTAATTTTTAAATTTTTTCAATTATTTACTTAATTTAATTTTAATTTTTTTGTTAATTTAATTGTTATTGTTAATTATTAATTTAGCTAATTTATTGTTAATTGTTAATTTAGTTAGTTCAATTGTTAAGAAAATTTAATTGTTATTAATTTTAGTTAATTGTGAGAGTTTAATTGTTAAGAAAATTTTATTGTTATTAATCTTTATTGTTAATTTAATTGTTATTGTTATTAGTTTAATTGTTAATTGTTATTGTTAATTGGTAATTGTTAATTTAGTTAGTTTATTGTTAAATGTTATTTATTAATTTAGTTAGTTTAATTGATGGTATTTTAAAAAATTAATTCTTTTAGAAAATTGTTAATAAGTTATTAGAAATATTTTAAATTTTTAGTAATTATAAAAATAATTAGTAATTAAAAAATTAATAATTTTTGAAATTATATTTAGTAATTAAAAATTAATTAGTAATTACATTTATTTAGCTATTGATTAAGTAAAGGAGTTAAGTAATTACAAAATTAATTAATAATTAAAAAAATTAATAAATTTTGTATAGAAAATAAAAAATACGAGAGATGGAAGGATAATTCCGCTCCATTTTCTTAACAATTTTTCAGCATTTCCTAGCTACCCTAGACTAATTCTCCAATCTCGCTTGCTATACGAGAGATGGAGTTACGGAACCGTAGGAGTGAGGCCGAGTGACGTAGTAGCCGGTCCTTCAAGACATACGAGGGGGTCGATCAACCATAGAGAGCACGCAATACGCATAGTGTGTGTGTGTGTGTGTGTATCAAAATAATTAATTAAATATTTGAGTATATTTAATACATTTATGTATATTTGTTTCGGCGTGAGGTGTTGGGTCGTGAACACGATCCTTATGAGTTTTTCTTGAGGACTCATCGGAGAAAGATTGATGATAAATATGTCTTCATCGATCAATAGTCAAGAGTTATCGGTGTAAGTTATTAGTTTATAACGTTATTTTATACATATTAATTAATAACGTTATTTCACATAGTTGTTTAATATTATGTCTTTCACAATTATGTAGGAGACCAGTAGAAAGATTAATAAATGACGAGGAGGTTGCTAGGCTGGCGAGATCGGGGGGACTTCATCGACTAACATCAACATCAATGAGATTTTTAGGAAGGCGGTTGATGGGGGAGATAGTAATAGGAAGAGGATGTATGGACTTGGGTCACATGCATCTCATTATTACTCTAACGTCGGTACAGCTTTCGGTTGGCAACTTCGCGGTTCTATGTTGGTGATGAGGAGCAACAAAAGGAAAGCGAGGATCGAACTGCTGCAAATATACAAGAGATCCGGGAGCTACGCGGTACTATCACAACGCCGTTGGCTACAACAAATGAGTTGAAGGAGTGCACTCGACGACAACATATGATGATGACATAGATGCGACGAGATGTTCCTGTAGCATTTTCAGCAAAGTAGCAATTCATCCGTCGTTCCTAACACCGATGATGACTCTATCCAACCTCCGGACGATTCCACTCAATCTCCGAGTGACAATCCCGCCAATCTCTCTTAACAATTATATTTTCTTGTAATAACAACAAACTTTCTACTTTTTTCAATAATTTAATAATTAAATAACATTTTTTACATTTTAATAAATTTTATAATAAAAATTATGAAATTGTAAAATATTATGTTTTAGGTATTACGTAGCTTTTAAATAGCAATCGGTTAATTTAAAATGAGGGTTAAAAAAATTAAAAATAATATCTTAGCGACGGTTTTAACCGTCGCTAAATTGCGATGATTTTAGTGAGGGTTTCTTTATACCGCTGCAATATTTTCTCGCTTCTACAATAATTTTTTGTGACGGTTTGGGATGTCGGTAAATTAGCAATGGTTATTAACGACGGTCTAAATGGTCGCAAAATTTTAACGACTAGCATTTTACGAATGGTTTTTGGATCTGTCGTAACTTAAAATTAACAACGAGTCTAGACCTTCGCTAATTCCATTATTTTTTGTAGCGGGACAACCTCATCATAATTCATAAGAAAGATTTAGCAAGTGTTTTAATTTATTTTGACTTCCTTCTGATCGATCGAAACATTTTCTAAACAGAGTCTATTAAACTCGCCTCCAAATTTTTGCCATCTTTTTTTCTAAAGCTAACCTCCTCTTATTCAATGAAACGTTTTTGGTACGGTCAGTAAGTTATTCCTTTCCCACCCCGAGGAGAAGAAATATTCTACAGGCACAGATAATTAGATCAACTTCGTAATAATTATTTTGCAGTGATCAAGAATGAAATAATTATAATTAGGATATAATAATTATTCAATGGATTGATCTATTTAAACCCGACTTGTAATAATAATTTGCATTCTAATGTAATTAAAAAAAAATTCAAGATTTGCTAAAACAATGATTCTATGCATTATCTTGGTCACTTATTTGCTTCTTTATTCTCCTTTTTTTTTTTTTTTTAAATAAAATCATCTCAATCCGTTTTCTTCAAATTCCAAAACCAAGGTTAAGTACCAACTTCCCCCACTATTCCTTTTTTTTTTTTAAAAAAAAAAGCAAGTCAACTGTGAAACCCAAATTGCCACTGCCTTCCTCGAATTATCAAAAGGTCATCCTCATCTCTCCCAAAACCTCCCTATATATACAACACGAATGACCCTCTTACCCACTCGCCAAAATTCCTCTCTCAGTCATCACAAGAACTCAAAAACTCAAAAGGAAGAGCAAACATGGTCTTAGCAACACCACAACACGACTCCACCTCTAGCTCTACCTCATCACCAAAGAGGCTAACCCTTGGTTTCCTTATGTCCATATCATCTCTCAGGTCTCTTTGTGCAAAGCATGCAAGCCGTGTCTCAAGCAAGCTCAAAACAGCTAACAAGTCAACCTACAAGAACAACATCAGCATCAACAAGAGCCCAAGACACTCTCCACTTGCCAGGCCAAAGCAGCTCTTGACACAAATAAGCAACAAGGCAATCACGTTGGTGCACCATAAGAGAAGGGTTGACCATGGAAGCGATGACGTTCTTTTGGGGCCTGAGGAGTTCGGTGATGGTGGTGTCTGGCAAAAAGCTATCATGATGGGTGATAAGTGTGAGCCGTTGAATTTCTCGGGTGTAATTTACTATGATAGTTGTGGGAAGCAGCTTAACGAGGTTCCTCTAAAGTCCCCACGCGCCAGTCCGTTGCCTGGGTACTTGACTCGTGCGACATAACAGAGGTCGCCTGTGGGTTATGCTTAAGTCACTGAGCTTGGAGAGTTAGGTAGGTGACTGCTGTTGTTATTGGACAACTACTCCTATATGGTTATACGAAGAAAGCAAGCAATTTTTCTTTCCTTTTGGTTATTTCACCTTGTGGTTTTTCTCTAGTGATTTTATCGGTGGGAGCATGTGGAGTTTTGGTGTTCTTGGTGATGAGGTTAGTTTAGGTCTTGTTTGGGAAAGCAACAAAGTTAAGTTTGTTTGATGCTTTGCCTAGAAAGGGCCAAAGTAACCATAGCACCAAACAGGTAGCTAGCTTGAAGTACTCTACTCTCCATATATGTGTGCAAACGTTGAGATGCAAAGTTTACTCTATAGCGTTTTAAAATAAATGAAAATGTTTTGTTCTTCTTTATATATGGGAACAGAACCAGATCAATTTGAATGAAATTTAATGTCATAAGTTACCATAAAATGTTGCTTAGTGGTAGTAGCTTTAGATTTATATTAGGAGATTGAAAGTTTAAATCTCACTTTTCTTTTCTTTTCTTTTCTTTTTTTAACCGTTGTAAGGTTTATGTTTTTTCTTTCGATTTTAAAAATATAGAAAGTTTGAAATCTTTAATTTTTAAATCAGTTCTTACCTATAAAAAAAAAAATTGAAAAGTAGTCGGTTTTCCGGTTATAAAACAAAAAAAAAAAAAAAAAGGGAAATCGTAACTTTGATGCTTTCGATTTGGATTACTATTTTTTATTTGACAAAATAATTCATATGGAAATTTGCTGATAACTTTGATTTAGTCTTTTCCACTATGAGTGGTAAGGTAAGTTTGAGCTAACTATGAGAGCCTAGAAAGTGGCTACAACAACAGGTTATCAATTCTATGCTGTGCGGTGACCTGGAATATGTAATTTATCTAGGATTGTGATTAATCCAAACTTTCTGAGTTGTTCAAAATATAATATAGACACGCGTGCATGTTTACCACAAATATGCATTAATTAGGAAAGGATTTCTTAGAGCTATTTATTTTTTTAGGATGGAAGGAGTATCACTCCTATACTTTTTTTTTGGGTACAATTACACACCTTAATTTTAATTTTTAACAATTGAAGTATTCATTTATGGATGATGATATATCGATATATGTATCTTAGAAATTTGATGATTTGTTCATACAAGAATGACAAGCAAGTGTTGTCGATGTACGTTTTTCTTTTTTTTTTTTTTTTTCCCTCTTAACTGTAGGTGTGACATATATCTAGAACGACATAAGTCGTTTTTTTTTAACAAATATCTATAAAGACACTTGATTGTATTTATGAGCAATTCGATTAATAAAAATTAAAATTGAAACACCTAATTATGAAAATCTAAAAATGCCAAACATTTAAATTAATATATTATTATTTTGGAAAAAAAGGAAAATTTTATATGGAAAGAATATTGAAATGATGAAAATAATATTTTTCTTAATTTCGTTATGATAAGAATAAGACAAGGGCATAATAATTCTTATATGATGTAAATAAAAATTACAAGCATGAAAGTTGATTTGGTAAAAAAAAAAAAAAGACTCGGTAATGGTAAAGGTTGTCACTAACCGATATTTAGTGGACTTCCAAAAAACTATTACAAATTATTTGTTTTATTTTGTTTATTTATTGAAAATGTGCGTGAAATAATGTTTTGGAGTTGTCACTTAGTATGAAAGGAACTAGAAAACCTTAAAATAGCATTGGATCGGAGATTTTAGGATAATGTAATAGCTTGAATTTAAGAAAAAAAATGGAGTCTGGTATAAAAGGAGCGATGAATCGCCTTTTTTTCAAAAATTTTCCCCTCTTTTCTCTCCCTCTCCTACGTATTTCTCTCTTAAAACTCCTTCCTATTTTCACTTTAATTCCTAAGCTAATTCATTGTTAAATTAGCTTAAGGAAAACATAAATTAGTTGATTTAAATGAAGTATAGCTAGCTTAGAGCTTAGGAAGCTTAGAGAGCTAGGAAAGATTTGAGATTTGAAGAGCATAGTGTAAAGGCAAGACATTTAATCCATTGATCTTTAAATTGTAAAGTTTATGTGTAGTTAATGATGATATTGAGTTGGAGTAGCTTTGGATTGTGATTTGCTTGAGGAATTGATTAGATTAAGGTTACGGTTTTGAGACCCATTTGGAGAAAAGTGATTTTAGATTATTGTAATGACTTGAATGATGTTTATTTGTCTTGGGTAAGTTATGAATGAAGTTCATTTGAAGTAAAATGAAGTGAATTTGAGAAATTGAGAGGTTGAAGATGATGAATAGTGAAAAATCCGAATTTAGGTTTTAATTGAAAAGAATTTTGAAAAAAATAAGGAATTAAGTTATAAAAATATAATTAAAGATGGATGGAGATTATTGGATGAATTAGAATAGAATTGATCATTTAATCAAATTAAGGATTAATTTATTTGAGGTTGATTGTTTAAGGAATGAGTTAAAGATTGACAATGAAATGTGATTAAATGATTTATTAGAATCAATTGAGGGATCATATGATTTAGTTAGATTATCGGATCAAGTCTTTCTAATCAATTTTGTTTTTAATTAGAATCAATCGAGGGATTATAGTAATGGAAACATATAAGGGAGAAATGTACATGAAAAGGAGGTTTTGCATGAAACATTGAGCATGGCAATTTTTCTTCCAAACCATGACAAAACTCATACCGTGTACTCATTCTCTCTTAAAAAATATAAATTTTGCATTAAAGTATATGTACAAAGCTGTTTCCACCTTTTCTTAAAAAGGTATATATATTGCAATTAGTGTGCATGGATAGTGTATATATATGTGAATAATGTGGATGTATGGCCGTGTGTCCATTTTACCTTTAAATGGAATATGTTTCAAATCAGTACAAGCCGTGTATCATTCTTATTCAAACTGTGTGAAGTAAATTTTGGCCGTGTGCCTCCTTATATTTTTGAATCATAATTTTTTTGAAAAATCACAGACGGCCATATGATAATTGCCATCAAACCGTGTGAAACATAAACCGGTCATGTGACTCTTTTTCCTTTAAAAGATATATTTCAATTAATGTACGTACATGGTCACGTGGAATCTTTCTTCAAACCATATAGATCAATTTTGCTCGTGTCTTCCATTTTGTTAAATACACATACGGACATGTTAAATTTTCAAAACAAATCATGTGGATCAATTCGCTCGTGTCTCTTCTTTTTGTCGATTCATGCACGAGTGTATGACTTTTCAAAATAAACCCGTGTATATCCCTTTCCGCCCATATGACTTCTTACGATAAAATACACATAAGCATGCTAAATTATTCTTCAAGCCATGTGTACTCCGTTGTGCCCGTGTGTCTCCTTTGTTCAACTTGGTTTTTCACATTGTTTTCGTTCAATCTTATGATGTTTAGACTTGTACGTGTTTTATTTTGGGTTTACTCATTTAGATTTGTTAATTTCTTCTTGTAAACTTAAGATTATTGTTTCATGTAAGTATAAACAAGCTAAATAAAATACGAGGATAAGATTTACATGAATTAGGCATTAAGTATGTTGTCTTTTAAATTATTTCTTTTGAATTATACTAAATTAGGATTATGTTTTGTAAAGACTACTATGGTGAGGACTAGATCGAGTGAATATAGAGGAGGTGTCGAGAATGAGACATCTTTCATACCTTTACGGTCGCATAATAGGACTAGCTTTAAAGGAAAAAAAGACCCTAATATGATGATGTCGATTGACATCATGGATGGGTTTCGTGCTATGCAGGCACACCATAGAGACAATGGTCGAGGGAAGTAAACTTTTCAAGCTATGACGAGTTAGTGTCCGCAATTAACGATTGGGTGGAGCGGTATTTACGTGGCTAGTACTCGATTGGGATTAGTGGGGTTTGACCCATATATGGAAAAATTCTTGAAATTGAAGCCATTAACTTATTCAAGTGATAGGGATGATGGGAACCCGATGCACTTCATTAATGAGACAGAAGAGAGGTTGGTTGTGCTTTGATGTCTTGAGGAGAGAAAAGTTGAACTCGGTGGCATTCATGTTTAAGGAAAGTATTAGTGAATGATGTAAACGAGACGTGAGACATGATTGGTCTTGGGAATAGTTTATGGAACCTTTCCTAGATGAACAACCATCGGAAAGCATTAGAGAAGAAAGGGCTAAGGAATTTGAAAGGTTAGTACAAACTTCTAACATGACGATGAAGGAGTATGAGAGAAGGTTTGCCAAGCTAAGTCCATATGCTCCGTAAATAATATCGAATGAGGCAAAAAAGGGTGAAAAGATTTATGAATGAGCTAGTAGATCCACTTTTCATAGTGGTGTTTCTTTAAAGGTTTCATAGTTATTTGGAGGCTATTGATTGTGCCCGTAAGCTCGAGATAAGGATAACGGAGAGTAGGACAACTAAGGAGCAAAAGAAGAAGGCTAAAAGTCATGCCTCATCATCTAGTGGACATAAAGGTCGTAATAGTGGATCGAATCGAGATATGAGTATGCGGAATTATTTTAGCCATCAAAAGAGATATTCTGGACGGAGTAGTCATGATGGATATCGAATGAGCATGAGCTAAAGATCATCTCACTCGGTCCATCGAGGTTCTGAAGAGGATACTCGGTTTATTAAGTATGTGGTAAGACCCATTCGATTATATGCTCCTAGGGAATAGGAGCATGCTTCTTTTGCCATCAACAAGGTCATATGATTTGAGATTATTTTAGATACAAGATGGTATAAGCTCGCTACTTCAAGAGGGGTATGGGCTCCTCCTATGGCTAACCTATCCTCAAGTTAGTATGGTGGTAGATTTGATAGCCGGTCTAGTTGAGGGTTTAGTGGTAGAGCACAATAAGGTCGAGGACAAGCTGGTAGAGGTCAGTGAAGGTCTTAAAGGTCAAGGTCGGACAAGTACTAATGACGATCGAGCTTGGGTTTTTGCCATCACTCATCAAGATGCTCACGCATCCAATGTCGTTGTAT